GGGGGGGGGATAAAGTATCATTTAAGTACTATTACAATTATGAAATATGGATCTTAAAATAAACTTAGCTTTTTTAAAAAGCATTTAAAATTTCGAAAATTTAAATAAACCTTTATATAGATTTAATTTCATAAACATTGTATTTTCAAAAACAAATGCTAAGTATTTCTCCATTTTACTATTATGAAACATTAAGCACAATTAAAATATTCTTGAAAATTGCAATTTGTGGCAGCCCTATACCTCACAAATCCTTCACAATATGTTTCATCCCAAGAGCCACGTGATAAGTGCAGCTTTTGCAGTTTGTGGTGTTTTAATCCTTCACAAACGTCGCCACAAATTTGAAAACAACAAAGGATATGCAGTTTGTGATTTGTTTTGTTAATAATACGAATATATTATTAATTAAATATAGTTATGATCGATTTTCAGGTATCATGTATAGGCCATTGAGAAATTGGATGTATAAAAAAGATGCTCCAAGTGGACGAGGATTATCCAAAGAATTCCTTGCAGGCGTTGAAGAATTTGTTGAATTTGCACGTGCTCAGACCCAATACTTAGATGGGGAGAAGATTCGATGTCCTTGTAAGAAATGTAAAAACAGCAAATTTGCTACTGCAGATAACATTCGTTGGCATCTTTATAGAGAAGGTTTTATTGAAAATTATTACAACTGGTATTGTCAAGGAGAAGCGTTTGACACTTCATACTTACCACAAACAGTTGGAACGTCTCGCGAAGTTCCAGGGTCTGTTGCCGCATGGGGTGATTATGTTGACATGTCTTGGGATCAACAATTGGTATATGATCTTACAGCACCGACCACATTTTCTTCGATGCATAATCATCAAACTGTAAATGATGCTCCGAGTTCATCAGCTCATCCGCCTGAAGAGATCAACACGTTGTCAAATCGATTTCAAGATGTCTTAAAGGCAGCTGATGAACCGTTGTATGAGAATTGCGATTGGAAGTCTTCATTAGCTGTTGTGTCAAAATTACTTAGTATAAAGTCGGACTGGAATCTTCCTGAAGCTTGCGTATTTAGATGGTTGCAAACTATAGGGGGCTGGTTGCCACGGGATCATAATCTACCCACGGATTTTTATGGCGTAAAGAAAATGATTTCTGAATTAGGCCTCCCAGTAATAAAAATTGATTGTTGTCCATCTCGGTGTATGTTGTTTTGGAAAAGTGACGAGTTTCTAGATAAATGCAAGTTTTGTGGTTCTGATAGGTACAAGCCGCAAAGTGAAATGCATTACTGTAAATTTCGCACAAATTGGGCATAAAATTGCATATCTACTACGAACATAATTTTTTAGTTAATATGTAATTTATTGTTCATTATATTTCACGCACGCAGATTACAAATGCTCACCCAGGAACTTACGATGCATTTCTAGTAAGTTTAGCATGGGGTCCTTCAGCTCACGTGAAAACATATCCGGCATATTTCATCAAGGGTTACAATTACCACACAAGAAGTTACGAAGAAGGTAAACCAACGATGAATAGCGGTCTATGTGTTCCTACATGTAGTTATGACAACACAGAAACCAGTTTTTATGGATTCCTAGATGAGATACTGGAGTTGTCGTTTGCTAGTCAAAGCCAATTCCGAGTTGTTCTTTTTCGCTGTACATGGATAGATCCGATTGAAGGCGTTAGAAAACATCCAAAGTTTAATATTGTTGATGTTAATGCCAGTAAAATCTATCGAAAATATGAGCAATTTATTTTGGCTCAACAAGGAGCACAGGTTTACTATGCACAATATCCATCAATGAGGCAACGTCCATCGCCTTGGGTATGTGCGTGCTTAATTCGACCAAGAAAAATTATTTCTCACGCAAAACATAAAGATGTTGATTTTGATGCATTTCAACTCGAGTTTTTTCCAGCCCCACCAATTGTTGAGACAAATCAAAGCTACGTTTTGTTGCGTGATCCAAATGGTGCTGAAGTGGAGGTGATCGAAGATGTACATCATCATTCCGAAGAAGAAGAAGAATGGATATCAGATGAAGATGACACAGAAGAAGAAGAGTATTTAGATGGTAATTCTGAAAATGATAGTGAATGATGTAATAATTAATATGTTCGAACTAGGATTTAAAATGATATTTTTTGTGCAATCATATTATATATTCTATGTCTAAAATTAGTTTTCACTTTTTAATCATCATAAATATATAAACATTAATGATCAAAATATTACATTCAAGAGCGTGAATAAATAAATGAGAAATAAATTTTATGACGGTGGGAGTATTGTTTTTGAGATGGAGGAAGTAAATATTTGTCACACTTTCGAAATAAGAGATGTCAAAAATATTATATTTTATCAAATTACCAATGACAGAGAGAGTAAAAAAAAGTTCCCGCGACTACAAAAAAAACTAGTGTGACAAATTTTTTAGGAGAGAGAAGAAAAAAACAAGTTTGTAAATTTTGTGAAACTCTAGCATAAGTATAGGAAGTAATACTCCGTATTTTTTTTGTTGAAATAACGGGGTAAGCTTTTGAGATTGAAATTGTCATCACAAATTCATCCACAAAAACAAGTGTCAGAAAGTAAGTTAGACACTACAGTTTGTGAAGGATATATAGGTCACAAATCCCTTCTCAAAATAGAGTATATAGTTTCTCTTCTAGTTTTTTTCCATTTACTTTTCACCAAACCTAATCCACGCCTCCCTTATTTTCCCCTCTCATCTCTTCAGCCGGTCCTATCTTCTTCGTACGTACTTTTTTTTCTTTCTCAAGACATTCACCACCAGTAAATTCTTTTTTTTTGTTTAAATTATGCCAATTTAATTAGTTGTAGTTGTGGTCTAGTTTTTCTATATTTATTCTTATAGTGTTGTTTGTGGAGTTGTAGATGTCGATGTCAAGGTCACACTCTCAATCTGGTCGAGGAGGAGGTCGTGGCCCAAGTGTCTGCGGCGGACGAAGTAGCTCTCTTCAACGTGGCATGACACCCCCAACCGCAGAGTCTCCCGCAACCCTTGAGAGCCGTCGCTCTCCGTCTGTGGATATTGGGGTTGTTGGGGGAGATGAAAGGATGGAAGGGGAAACTACTGCTGAAAAGGAATTGAACTTCATAACATTGGATGATTTAGTTGGGTAATGTTTTATCTACTGCGTTTAATTATTTTTTGATTGCTATATATGAAAATTATATTTTTGAATTTGATTGTCATTTTTTACTTCGGTAGAAAAAAATTTGTGCTAGACAAAATCACTGAAATCATACGAAGTAATTTTCATGGTCCTTGGAAAACATACACTGAAATTCCACAACAAATTCGTAATAGATGGTGGAGCTTGTTTATGGTGCGTGGGTTTTTAATTTACATGTTAAATGAGAATTACTTTATTTTTTTCAATGAAACTCATGATTAATTTTATAATTTTTATAAGAATCAACATTGTTGGGAAGAAAAAAATGAAACAATGAAGAAGGCTTTTCACACTCGATGTTCAAATTGGCTCAACAAAACTTTGGCCCATCACCGGAAAGAAAAAACAAGGCCTGAATTTGTTGCTGAAGGAGATTGGAAGCAAATGATGGAGTATTGGGGAACTGCAAAAAAATTTTCTGAAAGAAGTGAAAAAAGCAAAAAAAGTCGGGCCTCTGTGAAAGCAAAAGAAAGACAGTATCACAGTGGTTCAATTTCTGTTTCTGAACATGAAGAGAGAATGGTAATTATATTTTATTTTAGATTAATATCTAATATTTTAATTTATTTATTTAATAATTTCTTTTTTTTACAGGAGAAGAAAGACAAGAAAAAGCCTAGCAGGATAGAGGTCTTGAAGCATTGCTTCACTTCTCAAGATGGGGAGCCAACTACATTCGTATTGGAAATTGAGGTATTTACAATTTTAAATAGATAATTTTATTTAATATTTATTATATCTAATAAGATTCAATTTTTTAGACACGTTATAATACTATTAAGAGCCAACAAACTCAAGAGTGCGTTGGAGATTCTTCCGAAATAGATGACAATGATGCGTACGTGGAAGCAGCTGGTGGAATAGTTAAAAAACGTGTGTGCGGAATGGGTTCTAAAGCATGGACTATATCATCTGGTTCTTCAGAGAGTCATGGTGGTGCGGCGATGAGTTCTATTCCGGTGCGTTGGAAAAAAGAAATTGAAAAAGAAGTACAAGCACGTTTGGAGAAACAAAAAGAGGATATTTTGGCAGAGGTGAGAAAGGCAATGGCAGGAAGTGCTACTATTCCAGGAAAAGATGGCGCCACGTCCCCTTCGATGCACCCCATGTTTCAGAACCCCATCTCGGGTAATCATCCTGCATTTTTTTATTCTCCAGCACCAATGATGCCTGGATTTGTTCCCACAAATCCTATGATGATGCACATGCGGGGACCATCTGTTTCAACACCTAGGAGAAGCACCCCCAATCTTGCTAATGAAGAAAATGATGTGGACTTGTACCTGAATGAATCCCCAGGCCTTCATTGATGAAAAGCATTTTGTTTGGTTAATTAGAACATTGTTATGACTTGTATGTGTTGAATTACTTAGCTTTATTTTGCCAAGGCATGGACTGTTTTTTTTGCATACAGTGCATGTTTGCGAAACTTTATTATGATCTATATAATTTTATTAATTATGTGTTTTTTGTTATTGTAAGCTCTAAATAAATAAAAATTATACAAAAAAATTTTAAAAAAATTAAACGTGTGGGCGCTTCGGCGCCCGCACAATTTTTTTTTAAATTTGATAATATTTGTGACGGCTATATCCGCCCCAACACCTTCACAAAGTTGGTAGTGGCGGTTTTAAGCTAAAAATGAAATTTTTGAATTTTTTAATTTGTGACGGCCAAAAACATCCCAAAATTGTGTCACACATTTGGCAGTGGCGGTTATTTTTGAAAATGAAAATATTCAAAATTTAAAATTTGTGATGCTTAAATCCGTCACAAAACGCGAGGACAAACTTTGTGACGGTTCTCGACGCCACAAAGTAAGGAACGTCAAGTTTACCCGAACGTCACTTTGTGAAGGATGGCGGCTTGACAAAACCGTTACAAATTCTGTGAAGGCCAAAAAATCCGTCGCAAAGTGTTTGTGACGCCGGATTACGCACGTTCATCATCCGTCACAAATGTCCGTCACAAACCATTTTGGGACGGAAAAAAATGCCTGCGAGACGTCACAAATTCCTTCACAAAAACGCGTGTTTTTGGTAGTGTCCGTGGCATCTAAAAATCTAAGATCGTGGGTTGTGAGGGGATGACCATACGGGAAACAGGACTTGTCGAACACGACATGGCGAGAGATGATGAGTTTGTTAGTTTGGAGATCTAGACAACGGTAACCGCGTTGGTTGTAGGGATGGCTGAGAAAAATACAACGAACATGGTGGTAGTGGCAGAGATGTTAGAGTAACAGAGACAACCAAAAACTCAGAGATGGGAATATGAGGGTGGGGAGTTGTGAAGGATAGCATGGGGGTGTTATTATTTAAGGTAGTGCTGGGAAGGAGATTAAAAATGTGGGCGGCCATGTGAAGAGCCTCAACCCAAAATTGGGGCGGGAGTTGGGCTTGGAAGAGGAGAGATCTAACAGTGTTGTTAAGAGTACGTAAGGTGCGCTCAGCTCGACCGTTTTGTTTACTAGTATGTGGGGATGAAAATCTAAAAAGGATGCCTAAGGAGTCAAAAATAGTTTTAAGGGACAGGGGAGGGGTGGTGGGTATTATATGGCTTCCAACAGCCGTAGTGCGTACCTTAGATGCATTACCAACAGTGATATATAATGGTGAACATAAAGACTAAGAAGAAACATGAGAAAAAGTACCTGGGTCAGAGGCAATGTGATGAGAGGCACCGGTATCCATAAACCATGTGGGCTCACGAAGGGTCATGGTGTCAAACTGGTGGGCTAGGGCGGTGGGTGTAGGTGCTTGGGCCTGCAGGTAGGGGTAAGGTGGGGGGTACGAACCACCGGTAGGGTGAGGGGTAGGCATATGGGTTGGGGTGGTGTGGTAGTGTAGTAGGCTTGGGCATGATAAAGAGAGGGTGTGGACAAGGGTCGCGGGCCCAACAAGCTCGGGTTAGGGTAAGAGTAAGGGTAAGGTGAGCTCCAGGGATTGTAGCCGTTGGGAGGGGACGCTGCCTCGATCCGTTTTGACGTCTGCGTCCTCAACCCCGATACCCGATGCCTCGCCCTTGACCGCGTCCATAGTTGTTGCGTTGTTCGGAAGAGCAGCCCTCACCGTAGCTGCTACCGTGGTGGGACCCTCCGCCATAGGGTGCGCCGCCGCTACTACTGCCGTGCTGAAACCCGCTGCAACCGCCGCTGATAGATTGTCGACCGCCGCCGGGAACGCCAGGTTGAGCAGCGGCGAGAGCCGTGCTGCCGGTTCCGGCCAGGGAGTAGCGTTGCCGGTCCAATAACAATAAGGTGGAGCAGACTTGGAGAAAATTGGGCAACGGCCAACGGGTCCTGAAATTAGAGAAAACATGTTTGGGCCTGCAAATCCTCGGGAAGACCACGTAGCATCAGGAGAATGAGGTTATGCTGTGACACCGGTGCATCAACATCGTCCAACCAATCGACAAGGTTTTGAAGATGTTGACAGTAGGTCGCCATGGGGGTATTGCCTTTGACAGTGGTTCGAAACTCATGCTCCATTTGCATGGCACGAGCAAGTTTGTTGTCGTGAAATATATCATGAATAACTTTCCAGAGAGCAGAAGCAATAGAGACAGAAGAGATAACAGATCAGATACTTCGTTCATGATGGTGGACAAAATCCAGCCTTGAAGGAGAGCGTCAAGTTGGAAGCATTCATCATCGTCATCAGAGAGAGGGACGACGGAGCCGGATATATAGCCCTGGAGATTGAATTGTCGAACAAGGAGAGGGAAGAGACGACTCCATTTTTTATAATTCGGTTGGGAGAGACTGAGAAGAATAGGAACATGAAGTTCTACATTGACGATAGTAGTAAAAGCAAGATGAGGAGTTTTTGATGGTGTAGTTTGGGAGGTGACCTCACTTTCGGCCATAGTAGAGGAGGAGAAGAGAGAACTTGGGGAGGAGAGGGGGTGGCGGCTCAAGTGCCGCTGCTGCCGCTGGCGAAGAGAGTGCCGACCGAGAGAGGGAGCCTATACAAAATAAGGTAGGAGAATAATACAATTATATTAAAGGTAGGAGAATAATACAATTATATTAAATATAAATAATATATTTAAGAATATACTCAAGTTCAAATTTTATCTAATTAATACTCCCTCCGTCATATTTTTAATTTCTCATTTTGACCAAGGCTCATTTTTAAGGGAGAGCAAAATGTGAATTGACTTTCCATAAATACCCCTTCCATTACACACTATAGGGCATGAAATGAATTAACTGGAGACAATTTAAAGATGTAAAGATGTAGCAGCACCGATGTAATGGTGGCGGCTCAACCTTTCTACGCCGCCGTCTTCTTCTTGCTCCTCCTCCTCCGCTGGCGGTGTTCTTGAGCCTCCGCCACCAGCGCTACTCTTCACAATTGTGTAGTACACCAGGAAGAAACTAATCACGAGAAAGACGTCAACGACGGCAATAGCGGTGAGGTCCGGCGGCGGTGGAAGCGGGAGGAGGGGCAGAGAGGAAGACAGAGTAATGGGTAGAGGCCGTCGTAGTTTCTGCCCGGATCGTAGAATTTAGTGCACTGTTCTTCGCCGGCCGGAATCGGGTCGGGCCTTGTCATCACTTTCACTAACAATGGAGAAGAAAAGGATTCTCTAAATCTATATGAAAGAATGAAAGGAAAGAAAAATTACCAAGGAGAGAGAGATCTAAGATTCTTGGGGAGTGCAAATGGTAGAGGAGGTGATATGATATCTCTGATCGGATAAGAATGAGGGGTGGGGGGTTATTGATTAATTGTGGGCTGATAGTGGGTTGGGATTGGAGATTTAATTCTAAGGGTATTTGTGTCCTTTTGAGAAGGAAAATTCACTTTTTTTAGAAAGTGAGAAGTTAATTTCAGGACGGCCCGAAAAGGAAAGTGAGAAATTAATTTTAGGACGGAGGGAGTATTTCATATCATTTCTATTTAATTCGAGATGAAATGTCAAAAATAGTTGACTGCAAAATGTCAAAACTGCATAAATACTTAGGGATGGAGGTAGTATTATTTACTTGTACTCCATATTACTTAGTGGGATATCTTTTTATTTATAAATAGGTCAAAATTACTTAAAAGTTATTTTTAATTTATAAGTGAGTTGATGATGCGTTTCTTTGTTTTTATAAGCTACTTATAACTTAGAAAAAATAAATAGGTTTTACCTACATATTTTTAAGTCAATTTTTTTGTTTCTGTATTTTGACCAGATTGTTTACAAAATTATCTCTCGCCTATTATGAATATTCCCAGAAGACTTATATATCATTTGATTAATTTTACCTAAACACAAAAAATATTTAACTTATAAGGAGTTTATAAGTTAAAAACTATTTATCAATAATAAGTCAATAAACATATGCAGAGAGAAACACCCTTTAATCTCCTTACAATAAGATCAGAGATAGTTTTAAATAACAACTACAATCCGATTAGGCAAGACCACATCAAATTTTAAATAACAACTACAATCCGATTAGGCAAGACCACATCAAAATTTAAATAACAACTACAATCCGATTTGGCGCTGTATATGTATTTTAACTCATATTACGAGAATAAAAACATAGAACTCTTATTTTGATATATTTTCAATGTTTTTCTTCTACTTTAGTTTTTTTCAAACAAATATTCTCTCTGTCCCACAAAACCTTTCTCCTTTCTTTTTTCATCCGTACCAAAAAAATTCTCATTTCTATTAAAAAGTTACTTTTACCCTTACTAAATCTTGACTTACCTATCACATCATACTTTTGTACTACTAATCCACCCATCACATCTACTTTTACCTATCACAACCAAGGGCATTTTTGGAAAGTCAACACAAAAATACACTTATCTTACATCTCTTAAGAATCAAAACAAGAAATGTTTTGTGTGACGAAGGGAGTAGAAGATATTGTGAGATGCCGTAATAATAAAGGCGTAAATCATTTTTGGAATGGAGGTAGTACATTTTTATTTTCTCAATTCAAAAATAAATCACAGAAACCAATGACAAACTTAGTAGATCGACTATAGTTGGCGAAGCACTATTCAAATTGCAGATCCATACCCAGTATACAATATGCAGCGGATAAAAAAAGATCGATGCGTTTTCCACTCACTAATCCACGTAGACGGCTTCTTAAATTACAAAGACGACGCAGATCTAACGCCATCTCCCACATCTATCAAATCTACGATAATCAACCCCATCTCTGGCATCCCAACATCTCCGATAATCGACGTTGTGTCCCACATCTCTTATTTGAGTTATTTCTCTAGTAATCCATGCCATCTTAATTGTTTTTTTCTAGTAAGCATCTCTCGTCAATCTAAAGCTTTGGTCTTCAATATCATCTTTTTTGCACTTAGAGACAGAGAGAGAAAGTGATGGTCACTAATAAAGCTCTAATTTGGTCTCTAGCTGCACTGCGTGTAAAGTGGCTGAAGAACTGGCCTTAAATCTTCCGTCATCTGCACACCACAATAAGTGTCCGACGCAATCTACATCTAGGGGAAAGTTAGCTCTTTTATTTAGGGAAATTTAAAATTGTACTTCTCCGATCTACAATT